AGAGTCTATATGCCTTTTCATTTTTGAGGGACTCATTCCTGGCCATGGTTTATACAGGTATGTAAGAATACAGTGTTAAAAAATAAAAAAGCCCTATGTTGCCTTAACCACACATACATTTGCTGCCAAAAACTTAATCTGAAAAGACTTCCTGCTGCTGCATGGAAGAGTTCTTAAATAGAGAAGGTAAATGTTGTTTATGGATTTGCTCTCCACGGCAGGGAGGTATGAATAGCTAAGTTTATATGGACTCTGAACTCTGAAATCAGATCATCCTCAGTCTCATCTACAGAGCAGGATTAGAGGAGATACATCCTCCATTTATACTTCAAATATTCTATATCTGATTCAGATGTAACTTACTGAAACATGAATAGTTTTCATATGATAGGCTCTTAAAAATCTTTTAATGCTGCTGAAAAACACAACATGATAAGTTTTTAGGAATGATATAATAGTTCCTTTACTCCCATAGAATTTGTCTATTATCCAAATCCCCCTACTAGAGTATAAGCTCTTTGATGACAGGGAATGTGCCTCTCTTTTTCATAGCTGTGCCACAGTGCCCAGAGTACCCTTGGCACATACATGAACTTCCACTGGATACACTACAGCTAGAGGAATGGTTTTGCAGGATGTGTTAATTTGGACTAAAACACCAATTCTTTTTTCCTGATGCGTAGTTGAATCCTTTTTTATTCTTAAGTAATAATGCTTTACAGCCATGGTTAAGAGACTGTTGTTGGAAGCCTTAATTTTTTATTTTTAGAATATATAAAATGTAGAAAAGATTTAGGAAATAATGAAGGTTATTATTATTGTTTCTTCACTATTTATAAATAATGAAGTAATCAAATGTCTTGTTTTGTTCTTCCACTTATTCAGCAGCTATTTGTTGAGCAATTATTACATTTCGGACACTGTGCTCAGGGCCGATTAGTAAGAAGTTGAGTTCAATAACTCATAATGTGAAACTTCTCTAGGAATGCATTATAGTTGCTACCATTTAATATGTCCTTAAGTGGAATAATTTTCTAGTTACTCTAGTTTTTTTTCTTTTTTAACTTTTCTTGTAACCTCAGTAGTGCCTGTTCAAAAGTAAAGCAAACCATATATAATAATGTGATGCCTGCAAATTCTAACTTGCGATGGGATCCAGACTTCATGATGGATTTTATTGAGAATCCTTCAGCCCGTAGCATCAACTACTCAATGCTGGGCAAGATCCTCAGTGACAATGCGGCCAATCGCTACAGCTTTGTTTGCAACACACTCATGAATGTCTGCATGGGCCATCAGGATGCTGGAAGGTGAGAGGGGTTGCCCTGGAATTCATGATTAACTAGAGAGTTGTTTCCTTGGTACTTGTTTGAAATTAAGGTCTTTAATAATTACCTGGCCTCCCATTTGGCTATCTTTTGCTTTTTTCCCCCATCTTCTTTAGTTTCTTAACCTGAGAGACAGTGTTTTCTGGCTTACTGCTCTGGCATGAGATGTTTTCTAAGTGGTCTAATTGTTACATAAATCCATTTTCAAAAACATTTAATATAAATACAAAAAAACTATGTATTGGAAAAAAAACTATATTTGGGCCTACCTAAATTACATAGTGTCTTTAAATTTTTTGATACCCTTAAAAATGTAAAGTTGGCAGATCAGATTTGTTCACAAAACTAAAAATATGCTGGATTTACATTGTTAAAAGTGTTTGAACCCATTTTCTTTTCTTTCGCTCAAGGTTATTTGGTGAGTGGGTATTTATTATTATATCCTGAATGTAAGAAAATGTATGACATGTTCAGTGATAGTGGAATGTGTTAAGTATGTCACATGTGAGTATTTCTCTTTAGTAGAAAGTTGCTTTCTACTATTTTCTTTTTCTTTTCCAGGATTAATGACATAGCCAACTTCTCCTCCGAGCTGACGGCTTGCTGCACTGTGCTCAGTTCAGAATGGCTGGGGGTTCTCAAGGCTCTCTGTTGTTCTTCAAATCATGTGTGGGGGTTTAATGATGTACTTTGCACTGTAGATGTAAGTTTTCTTTTTTATTTAAAAACTCAATTATGCAATTAAATATTTAGTTAGTGGGTAATCTTTTTTAAAAAATTTAATTGACTCAAACTGAAAGGTCGTAAAATATTTTTTTTCTTTCTCTATCCAAAAGCATTAAACCATAGTATCATTGCCGGGGATTAAATAAATGGAAAAAATCAAAATAAATAAAATTAATAGTTTAATCTACAGTAGAGATGCCCAGAATTTCCTTGTTTCCTGAAATTTCCAGTTAGTGAGATTTCTTTCATATGGATAGTCTCTTCTGAGCTGTTTGTTCTTAGTTTTTATCAAGTATCTCAAGTTCCTCATGACACAGGACATAATTTAACCAAAGCAGTTTACATTCCGAAGATGATCACTTTATTTCTGCCTGTTATCTATCACTCCTCGGAGTAATCCATGTCATACATTAATATATCTTATGTAAAGAACTTTATACATTTTTAAAACTGCCTCTTGGTTGAAGGTTTACTCTATAGTTCTGCTCTCTCAGGACTGCTTGGACAATCCTATCTACATATGTCCGTTTCATGGGCATGTGTTTATGTATATTTCATAGCTGTGGCCTGCTTTTTCAGACAGAAAAGGTCCAAGTTTTTATCTTTAACATAGCTCCTTAACCTCTTGGTTGTTTCTCGTTAACACTTTACCTCTTGCTTCAATCCCTCATCTGTAAAATCGGAATTAATAGTAACGTGAACCTCACATTGTTGTGCTATTAAATGAGGTGATTTGGGTAAATCGTTAACCATAGTCCCTGGCTTGTAGTATAAATCGATATGAAGGCTGCTGTTTTTCTTACTTTCTGCCAAGTCTGAAGAGTTCTGTGATAGTAGAGATTTCACTGTGACTGAATTCATTTTCCTCCACTTTCTCTTATCTTTCTTTTTTTTAATGTAGGAGTCCATTGGTTAACCTTCAGGGTTGTTTTTAAAACTAATTTAATCTTACGGTAGAATCCTTATTAGTGATTCCTGAAGGGAACTCCAAAGCGTTAGTGAGGCATGTTTTTCAACTGGTGGAATCTACTTGTTTTCCCTTGCTTCCTAATGGTCTTACCCTTAAATGACATATATTTCCTTCTGCTGAAAAGTTTTAATTATGTTCCATCTTTTAGCGATTTTTTGATTTTTGCTTTTTCATTGTGTTGTTTTTTCATTACGCGTGCACAAGTTAAAGCTCAGTATCTTCTTATAGTGTTGGGGCATAGCTAAACCTTATTGTCTTATAAAGTAGAACTAGGCCTAGAGGAAAATAATCATAAATTACAATTTCCTGCTATTGGTTCATGTTGGGATTTGAGATCTTATTGATATTGCCTACATTCTCTTAGTTATTAATCTTAGATATTACTTGAGAGGGTGTTAGGTATTAAAACCTGTCAATGTTTTTCTTGAAGGTGAGTGACCTTTCATTCCATGATTCATTAGCTACTTTCATTGCTATTCTGATAGCACGACAGTGTTTTTCCCTTGAGGACGTCGTGCAGCATGTGGCACTTCCCTCTCTCCTAGCAGCAGGTAAGGTGACATCCAGGAACGGCATTTGTTATTTGGTGCTTGTCTTGGTGGAGTGGTTTCTAACTATTAAAACACAGGGAAAGGAGTATTTGAGGGTATGTAAGTGGTGTGGCATTAAAGTAGAGATGGTAGAGCTGTAATAGTTCCGTACAGAGTAACATGGATCCCTATGGAAAAGCTTGGAAACTGCTATTTCATTATTTGTTTTAAGGAGACACTTAGGTTTCTCAGAAAGGTACAGCCAGTGTCTTCCTTTCTTACCATAAAGAGGATTTATTTAAATTATTTCAGAATATTTAGCCCAATGGAAAACCCTAAAAATTGTTCTTGAATATGTTAGAAAGCTTGCTTTCACCTCCTGTTTCCTAGCTTGTGGAGATGCGGACGCCGAGCCTGGGGCGAGAATGACGTGCCGGCTCCTGCTTCACCTCTTCCGAGCTCCCCAGGCCTGCTTCTTACCTCAAGCAACGGGTGAGCTGACAGCTGAAAAATCTCTGACTACGTTTTCATTTGGAGCTGTAGATTCTAAGACAGCTAAGCTGGCTGTCCAGTCTGTAATTTCCTTTCTGATTTTCGTAGGCTTGCTCTGGAGGTGATGAAGGAGTGAGATGATGCCATTGAGAGGGCTGTCAACACCTTTTATTTATGTAATATCAGGATATACTGAGAAACAAAAATCAGGTGTTAACAAACAATAAAAATACCTTTGGTTTTAGGCCAAGCCATGCTGGTGGGCAGTGTGATTTGATCATTCAGTATACTACGTATGTTGGTTCTGAACACTGAAGCAGCTTAGGGCAATGGTGATTCATTAATTATTTTCCTAAGGTAAAAGGAACAAGGTAAGAATTCTAGCGGCGTTAATGAAGTCTGTTCCTAAAGATCATTTCCACATAGATATTTCCACGTCTCTGTGAGAATCGGCATTAGTGTACGAAAGTCCTGCTAATGTTGCACATTTTTCTGAGAAATAAAGACATCATTTTAGTAATTAAGAAGTAAAGGTTAAGTAAGGAATCTTGGCAATGTTTCTTAGTGAATTCATGAAGCGTCACTTAAAACAAGTTAATGGCAATTAAGCACCTATAGTCTAACAGTGAAAGGACCTGGTGACTATAAAGGATTACAGAAGGTTGCTAATGATGGTGATGAGACCATTAAAGGTTTGTTGTTGTTTTCACAGGCAAACCTTTCCCTGGAATAAGATCATCTTGTGACAGGCACCTCTTAGCCGCTGCTCACAACAGCATTGAAGTAGGAGCTGTGTTTGCTGTCTTAAAAGCAATTATGATGCTTGGTAAGACTATCCTGGCCTTAAGCTTTTTGGTTAACCACAAGAAACAGAGGCAAAATAATTTGTATTCAGGTTTAAATCTAATTAATATTATTAGAAACATTTTTTGTTTGTTTGTTCTGAAAAATTAGTTGGTTTTCCCCAAGTTTAAGTATAATTGGACTCTGAAGATTCTGCCTTTACCTACAGTGACTGGGGGGAATTTAAATATAATACTTTTCATGGTGTTTTAATTTCATCGTGTCTCATTCTGATGTAGAATAGATCCTCAGACCTACACGGTTGTTTGTTGGCAGAAATCACTCTTTGTGATGGACAGGGTTGACTTGGTGATCTAACCAGAGGTTTAAATTTCAGCCAGATTATATTCCAGAAACAGAACATCAGAACACTGGGGTTTTAATCTTAGTGTTTCTGCTTCCATTATGACCCTGAACTACTTTATATCCTTCTGCTTAGTTTTTTCATTAATCGGGTAATAATTACAATGATGTGGGTACTATTGATAAATCAATATTAGATGTCACAAAAATTTTTACTCATGATGTCCAAGACATTTTTTATATTCTAATTTGTATGTTTTCTCCTGGAGTAGTAGTACTGCCTTTTCTGTTTATTTACAGTATAGTACCTTAAGATATTTTTATTCCATAAATCATAAAGGATTTGAATGCTCAAGAAGGTTTGAGTTCATGCTGCCTAATTCCAGCTTTAGGTACTTGATTTTGAAACAAAAAGTTTTTGAAACAAAAGTTCTCTCTTATGTTCCAGAGGTGCTCCCTTTGGTTAGAACAGAAGTTACTGAGGCCTTGACTAAACAAAAGTTCTCTCTTATGTTCCAGAGGTGCTCCCTTTGGTTAGAACAGAAGTTACTGAGTGGATAGGAATTGGTTTAGATGAGTCTTAAAGAACATGTTTGAGTGTATAACCCTGTCCTGCTTGAGAAATGTTATTTGGTGATGGGATAATGGAGTTTCATAAAACAAACTATTAAAAGTCCACCTAAAAAAAGGGAACACACACACACACACACACACACACACGTGTGTATATATGTATACATACATTTTTTGAAATGCCCCAAAATTTTGTAGTCAAAAGAAAAGGGCAGAACTACATCAAGGGCCACATCGTCTCCTCTGAGCTTGGGAGCTTGTAGATTTATACAGCTAGCATTAAATGTTCATTTCAGTACAATTTCTCTACTCTGATGATGTTTGAAGGGACATCAGAGACGGCATGTCAATTCTACATGATAAATAAATGTAGGGATCATGAAGGCAAGGACTGGCTTTTTTCCTGTGGTATGTCTAATGCTCATCAGAGAAACTAGCAAAGAGAAGGTTTTCAATAACTAATGTTGGAGGTGTGAATCCATAAATGGTAGATATTTCAATGGCAGAAACCAAGCTGAGTGCCATCTGTACTCTGGCCCCTTAATTTGCAGGACTGGTCTCATCCCAAGTAAAATTTTCCCAGCTCTTTAAATATCCAAATAATATGGAGGGTTCCTAGGTCTGAGGTGTCAGGATCAGGACAGTTCCATGTCGGCAGAGCCCTGGACCAGGTGGGGGCTGAACACTCACTTAGCTCTATTGTCCATGTAACTGCAGAAGGTCTGGCACTGCCTCCTGGACCTTCTCTGTCATCCTAACATCTAAGCTAAATGAGGATCTCCTAGTCTGGGACTGGCAGAGGTATTTGTTTGTTTTTGTTTTTGCAGAAGTTTTATTTCATCTCTGTCACCATGTTCTAACCAATACCCTCTTAGTTCCTATATTTTGAGTTAAGGAGATGGGACTGTTACATTGGATTTAATTTCTAATTTCTGTAGTAGTTTAAACGAGTGTAGATAGTTATTTATATCACTTAAGGTGGAGAAAGCACACTGAATTTTGGTACTTTCAGAATTTGGTCTTTCCTTCAGCTCCCAAAGAGTTCTGTGAATTTAAATAAATTAATGTGAAATTCTCTTTGTATGTTAATGGGAAATGTATGATAATATATTGATGGATTGAACTGTATTATGTATTCCTCCCCTTCTCAAGATTTTATGAGTAAATATTTATTAAGTCATTCTAATTTTTCAGATTCTTTTCAGCAGAGTCAAAACTTTTTCTTGGTCAACCTGTGGATTTTAAAAGGCTTTTTGCTCTGATCTGGGCTTGATTCTGCTGTCTTTTTGCAGGCAGTGAAGGCCTCATCTAAACTCATTTGTTGGTTCAAGGGTATTTTCTCTGTCAAGGATTATTATTATCCTATGAGTAAACAGGCAAAAGTTTGAAGGCTCTGCTGTCATTTGGTAATCCTTAGTACCAAATTATATTACTTTCTCACTTTTAAAATACTACAGTATTTGTCTTTAGAGAAGATTTATTTCCAGCTATTCAAACATTCTGCTCAGTTTTTTCCCCAGAACTTTGTTATGAGGAAAACACTTTACTTAGCTTCATTTCACTGGGTGTATTAGAGATTGATCAGGTAAGGGTTTCTAATTTGGATGTTACGGCGAGGAAGGCAAGAGACACAGGTTATTCAATGAATGCCTACTTTTCAGGGTGTCCTTAGCATGCACTGCCCTTTTCCATTCCCAGGGAAATAAATCTCTCTTGTCAAGAAGTTGATAGTAAGGTGGGCTAAGGCAAACTTTTCTCTTGACCTATGGATAGAAAATAAGTCATTGTAAGAGAAGAAATGGAAAAGGGACATCTAGAAGGGTGAGTAGCCCATTTTTTCCTTGTCTGTAAGTCAAATTAATTTGAATATGCATTTGTGCTTGAAATACTGGTGAAGTCAGTGTTCTGTGATTATGAAGTGTGATTCATAATGCCCTTTCCAAGTCTGGTGAAAGTATATTTAATTCTATAAACAAAATAAGTAGTGAATCTTGACTAGCTTTCTTTCCATGTCTGATAGAAACTTCTCTGGGTTCTTGCATTTATTCTCTTGATCTGTTCTCTCTATTGCTGAACAACTGGCTATGCAACAATACTACCATTCACATATTTTAAATTCCCAAAAGCTAGCCTCATTTGCTTCTTAGATATTTGGCAATATTTTGAACTTCTATGGTTTTTGCTTTTGTGATTCTGTTGTTTAGGAGATGCCAAAATTGGCAATAACAGTGTCAGCTCTTTAAAGAATGAAGACTTTACTATGAGAGGTTTACGACGTGATGGGAATGCTGATGATATCTGGACTGCCTCACAAAATTCAAAATCCTGTGGGAAAAGCATTTCCATAGAAACTGCCAATTTAAGAGAATATGCTAGATACGTACTGAGAACTATCTGTCAACAGGTATTCTTCTGATTTAATTTGCCTTTTACTTTGAATGCATAACTGCTCTTTTGGAGAGAGCTATTTACTATTGTAGGAAACTTGTACATAGATGGTTCTTTTTTCTTGCTAACTTTATATCAAAATAATTTCAAATTTTCTAAAAAGTTGCAATAATGATAAAGAACTCCTATGTACCCTTTACACAAATTCACTAATTTTTTACATTTTGCCACATGTGCCTTGTAATTCTATTTGTGTGTGTGAATGTGGGTGCATATAAATATGAGGGTGCTTCAAAAAGTTTAGTGAAAGAGTCCTATTATCTTTTGATTCTATTTTTCTATAAACTTTTTGAAATACCCTCACTTTTTTTCTGAACTATTTGAAAGTAGGTGGCATACTTTATTCTTTATTTTTGAGTACTTCAGTCTTTATTTCATGACATAACCAAATATACACTTATTAAATATCTGAAAATTTAGCATTGGTATAGTAATTTTTTCTTATCTATAGCCACATTTTGATTTTGTCTGAGGTTTCCTGTAGATTAGCTTCAGATTGTGCATCCCTGGCCAAGACACTATGGAAGTAATGCTGTGTTCTTCCAGGTAATCACGTCTGAAGGCACATGATGTCCATTTGCACCTCATTGGTGATGTTAATTTTGATCAAGTTGTCTCCATTGTATACTTTCAAGATTTCTCCACTGCATAGTTATTATTTTTTCCCCTATAATTAATAAACAATCTTTAGGGAGACACTTTGGGGAGGTGATGCAAATTTTCAGCTCCTTATCAAACTCTCCCACCCCTGATAAACAATCATTTCATTTCTTGTCCAAAGTAGTCTTCACTCTGATGGTTGCAAAATAGTGATTTTTTTTTTCAGCTCTTTCTGTCCCTCCACAATATCAGTTTTTGCCTTATTTTAAAGAACCCACCCTTCTCCCCTATTTATTGTCCATATGGGTTATAACATACTGTTCTTAGTTACTTTTCATGTTCAGATTGTCCCAGATTTGTCCAATGGGAATCTCTTTATCCTGGCTCTTGCATCATTTGGCATATTTCATCTTTTTTTTTTTTTTAAAGTGTATTTTCTTACTTTCTGGACCATCTTTTACTTTACCTGTCCCAGACCTGAAATTACCTATTCCTCTTAGGAACTTTGGTTCTATTTAGTAGAGGACAGTATAGAAACCAAGATCTGGGTACTATGTGTGTTCATTGCTATGAGGTATCATTGCTTCTAGGCTCTTTCAGCAGACAGAACTAGTGCAAAAATACATCTATGTACATAAATGTGTGTGTGCTGTAACTGTGAGTTCATACTTCCAGTTCCAATCCAACCCCATGAAGTTGTTCTTTGTATTCCCCTATTCCATATTGGTATCACCTTTTACAGTGAGAGACCTGATTCCCGGTGACCAAACCGTTTACCAGTTTGGCTTAATTCTACTTTATACCTAATATAATTTCAGAATTATTACACATATATATATATATAACTAGGAGAAACAAACCTACCATAAGGAGTTGAGGTTTTGTTTGTACTTCCTTTTTCTCTGAGGGTTTACAGTACTTGGTTCAAAATTTATTTGAACTTTCTCCTTTATTGTGAGTATGTTCTTCATTTGAAATACAATTGGATTTATTTGTTTTTGTTTACATTCAGTTTAGATTCCCTTTTGCCCCCTTAGCTGTGTCTATAACATAACATACTTCCAAAAGTCAAACTATACAAAAGGTACTTAGAGATGTGTCCTCTCTTCCATTTCCTTTTTACCCTTTACCCCCCTCCCTGCCCCAGGTGAATAATTTCATTATTTTCTGGTTTATTCTTTCATGTCTTTTAAAACATTTCTCTGTTCTTTTTAAATCCCTGCCCCAGGTGAATAATTTCATTTCATTATTTTCTGGTTTATTCTTTCATGTCTTTTAAAACATTTCTCTGTTCTTTTTAAAAAAAATAGTGGCATAACTTATATTCTTTTGTACTTTTTTGTAGACATAATGTTGACAGTGTCACCTTTTTGTATTTTGTAGGCATGTTATATAACCATGGTAAAAGTTAGGTGAATCGGGGCTGGCCCGCGGCTCACTTAGGAGAGTGTGGTGCTGACAACACCAAATCAAGGGTTAATATCCCCTTACCAGTTACCTTTAAAAAAAATTTTTTTTAAAGTTAGGTAAATCGTTGTATAGGTATTGAGAGGCAGTTGTTCATTGATACCCAACTGTGAGTACACATTGGAATCACCTGGGGCATTTAAAAAAATTTCAGTGCCTAAAAAAATTACTATCTGGGTACCACCACCTGAGTTTCATTTAATTGGTCTGATGTAGGGCCTCTGCATGGAATTTTATAAAGCTCGCCAGGTGATTTTAATGGAGAAGCAGCCTCGAGCCACTGGTATGGTGGTTAAGAAATGGACTTCATCTGAAATAGATCTGGGTTCAAATGAGGCTCTGTTACTATTGGTGATTTCTTATCCCATTTAGTATAAGGATTTGCATTTTAAAAAATATTGAAGGAGTGTAAATTGGTAGAAACTTTTCAGAGGGCAATTAGTCATATGCATCTATAGCCTTAAATTTTTGTTATAGTCCTTGACCCAACAATTGCACTTCTATGAAATTATCCTAAGAAGATAATTGTATAGAAAACAGATGTGCACAAATTTTTTTAATAATAGTCTCACTGTTCATAACAGTCAAAAAGGAAGGTAATTTTCTAAATATCTGTTTTAACCTGTGTTCTGTCTATTTAGTGGAATGTGTTCCATAAAAATGATGTAATATCGAATCATTATCATTATACAGTGAGTTAAAAAACACTGATTCCAAAATAATACTTAGATCGACGCCACATTTTCCAGTTGGAAACACCTCTTTCTTTTCTTTCCTTTTCTTTTTTTTTTGCATGTTTTACAATTTTTTCTTTAACCAAAGTTCTTTAAGACAAAATGCTAGAAATTTTATTGGTTAAACTTTTCCCAGCTACTTTTTTCTTGTAATTTTTTAAATTGGAAGATTCCTGTCAGCTTTATATTCCGTTCTACTGTGAATGGAGTGCGTATTACATACATATATTTAAAGTCAGTGCCTGTCAATTTAACTGCCATATTATTTTCAGGAATGGGTAGGAGAACATTGCTTAAAAGAACCTGAAAGATTATGTACAGACAAAGAACTTATATTGGACCCTGTGCTTTCAAATATGCAAGCGCAGAAATTACTGCAGCTTATCTGTTATCCTCATGGCATTAAAGAATGTACTGAGGGGGACAACCTGCAAAGACAGCACATTAAGCGCATTCTTCAGGTAAGTACTATATTCTAAAGATTATGTTTCTGTCATTTGACACATTCTTTGTGATTTTAAGGAGATTTTGTCATTGCTAATTCCTGATTTCAATTAATTTTGATTTTTATTCCCCCAGCTTTCTTTTCTGAAGAATTCCCACACTTTATTGCTGGGTAGACACAGATGCTGCAAATTCTTTATAATCATCAGATAAATATTGATATTTTAAGTCATTACTGTATTTACATGAGAAATAAGCTTTGTAGAGGGGCTTCTTAATGTATTATTCAAGAAATATTGAAATCATTTTGGAATGGGATTTTGAGGGAAGAAATGCTTGTCTTATTTATTTTCAGTGCCTGGCTGAGTCAGGCACTTTATTTTGATGTCGCCATTTATTTGTGTCTACACCAAATATATGTACTGAGATTGGAAGCCTTTTAATCCATTTAAATTCCTTTATTGTATATGATTATTCTGCTCTTTCTTGAGAGAGAATACTATAAGAAAGTATTATATTTCAACACATATTTAATATTTTTAATGTTTCATTTTTTTCTTTTTTCTTCAGAATCTTGAGCAGTGGACACTGAGACAGTCCTGGTTAGAACTTCAGTTAATGATCAAACAGTGCTTGAAGGACCCTGTGAGTATATATTGAAAGTGTTGTATGTATAAAATTTTATGATAAGCAAAAACACACTGAGATCTGAGGGTAAAAGAATACATATGTATGCTAGTTTTTTTACATCTAACTCTAGGGCTCTGGTTCTGTGGCCGAAATGAACGTCTTACTGGATAATATTGCAAAGGCAACAATAGAGGTGTTCCAGCAGTCTGCCGACATGAACAGTAACTCTGCTAATTCTGGCATGAGCCTCTTTAACCCAAATAGCATGGGAAGTGCCGATACAACTAGCACAAGACAGAATGGAATAAAGACATTTCTAAGGTATATTCTTTTTAGTTTTATTGGTCTATCATTAATTTTTCACATGTAACAGTAAATTTTATTTGCGTATTGCAGTTTTTTTCATTAGCCACAGGAATGTGAAGGAAATAATTACTTGTAAGTGATAATTATCATTATTTAAAAAGTTAAAGGGTAAAGCTGTAGTGGGTGATATCTTGGCATTCTAAACGTTTGGTTAAGTAGGCCCAGATGCCTTGGAACCCTAGATGAACTCAGGTTTGATTAGTGCCTTCAGCATCCTTTAGGCCACCAATTATCATTATTTAAAAAGTTAAAGGGTAAAGCTGTAGTGGGTGATATCTTGGCATTCTAAACGTTTGGTTAAGTAGGCCCGGATGCCTTGGAACCCTAGATGAACTCAGGTTTGATTAGTGCCTTCAGCATCCTTTAGGCCACTGTATTCCAAGGTGTTCATTATATAGGAAACGTTTTTTTCTGCCATCTTTATTAATTGGCAGTTTTGCACAAATATATCATGGTAATTTGTGTTCAGAATTAGAACTAGTAGGCATATGGAATCTTAAAGTAACCGTTTAATTTGAAAGGCAGATTAATTTGTATTTTTTCATTTTGGTGTAAAGTATAACTAGTGAATTTTAAAACTTTAAAAATTGGTTATTATTGTGCTTAAACATAATGACATTTCATATTGTAAACGTGACAGACAAGTGGATTGTTAGACAAAAGGATTGTTTCTAATCAGTGAGCCAGAATTACAGAAAAACGCTAAAAGAAAAATAGTTTAGTTGCAGTATCCTCCCGGGACTGCACCTTCTGTTGCTTTCGAAAAGCACGGTGGGAAGTGTCTGCACACATCTGGTTATTGGCATGAGGAAAGATAGTGCAGGAATAAAAGGGAAATTTTAGAATGGTCTGTGTGTCTTGCGCTTCCGTGTTTTGATTTGGAGTTTTTTTATGACAGAGAAAAAAAGATGCTTTTTGGGGGTGTAACTCCTGTTTCTGATTTTAGTTCCTCTGAACGCAGGGGCGTATGGTTGGTGGCGCCCCTCATCGCCAGGCTGCCGACTTCCGTGCAAGGAAGAGTGTTGAAGGCTGCTGGAGAAGAGTTGGAGAAAGGACAGCACTTGGGTTCTTCATCAAAAAAGGAAAGAGACAGACAAAAACAGAAGAGGTATGGCTGGAAGATGTGTCTGTTTATGTGAATGTATAAGGAGCAACTGAGAAAACCTAGCACTCTGCAAACATATGTGGTCATTTTATCCACCGACTACTGATATCTAGTTTTTAAATGGAATCAGAAATGTTCTATTAGGCAAGGCTCTAGTCCTAAAAAGTTCCAGGTTATATAATGTTATACACTAGTTCTAAATTCTGCTTATATATCCAAATCACTGCTGAACTGTTAAAAATTCTGACTTCTGAGCCCCACTTCAGACCAACTGAATCAGATCTGAATAGCTACCTATGTGGTCCCTATACCAGAGAACTTCAAAAAGGTCACGGGAAGATTTGTATTATCTTTCAATTCTCTTTTTCCATGAATTTTTTGAAGTGCCCTAACATTTTATTTTTAATTAGTTTTAATTTTTTGTTACTTAGGTATTTATCTTTAAAATGCAGAATGATTTATTTATAATTCTGGAATGTTGAACACTGAAATAGTTACTAGTATTTTTAGCATTTAGGGCTCTTATTCTGGACTAGATATTGAGTTCGAAGCCACCAAAACTAATGTTTCCTAAATCTATTTTATGCTCTTTCCAAGTCACCTCTCTCAGTTCTGCCCGTGAAAGAAGTGATTCAAATATTTTGACCTAGATCTCATTAAGAAGTATTTCATTCCAGAGTAGCACTTAGTTTGTAAACATGACTTATCGATTGTTAGCCAATTGAAAATATTTCATTCAAGTTCCAATTTGAAACAGAGTTTTTACCAAATGCTTTGAAACCCCATTACCAGTGGTGGCTGTGGTGGAACCGTGCACTGGATGTCACTAGCAAGCACATGTTTTTGGAGTCCTCAGACTTCACTCAAGTACCATGCTTTTTGGTCTTGAGAAATGCACTTAAACACAAGACAAAACCCCCAAACAAGCACAACACACATACAGACCTGTTTCTTGGACTGTAAAATAAAGTTTTGTATCAGAAAGTTTTCATTTTATTCTCTGTATAAGTTGCTATTCTTTCTGTGTATTTTTAAATTCTGGGTTTTGGTGTAAAACACAAATTCATTATTTTCTCCCCCCACTGCCCCAACACACTCACGTGCAGTATGGATTTATGCTAGTTTGAGAATGCCTTCAAGGGCAAAAGAGATATTAAGTTATTTAGAAGCATTCTTAAGTAGGGAGTAGAGACATGATTTAACTTTTCACATAGTCTTTGGCTATTTACCACCCCCTCCTTTATCTGATAGTAAAAATAAATAAAAGCCAAAAGCCCAAGGGAAAGAAATGAACTTTGTGACAGGAACTAATTCATTCTTTCTAACTAGATCTGCTGTCACTGCTTCCTTTGTAGTATGTCTCTTTTGAGTCAGCAACCTTTCCTCTCACTGGTACTTACCTGCCTTAAGGGACAGGATGAACAACGGGAAGGCCTCCTAACATCTCTGCAGAATCAAGTTAACCAGGTAAAGTACAGTATAATATTAAGCCAAGCAAGTATCCTTCTAATGGCATTCATTTGTTTTCCTCTCAAATACTGAGATTGAACTAATAAGGGTGCAGCATGTTTTGATTAGTTGCCAGGAGACACAATCCATGCCCTGTTTTTCTACCTGGCATTCTGGTCACCACAAGATTAACAATTTTATATATTAATTATGCATACAATAAATGTGTATAGACTATAAAAGTAAAATTTTGCATATTGCATATAACTTTGAGGCATCTGCGTCTCTCCTAACCCTGCCTTCTGGGAGAGGACCTGGAGTGATCTGTGTGGCAGTAGGGATGGCAGTGACACAGAGGAACCCATGTCCCACTCCTCAAGTAGGGCTTCCACATTTTGGGCAGCTTCAGCACTGTCAGTTTAGAAACTCAATTTTATTTGCCTGCCAGAGCCAGTTTGATGCCAGCCAAATGCACCAGAAACTTGTTTATAAATCAGAAGCCATATTGGTTCATTTACAAAGAATTTGGACATTGCCTCTTTGTGAGCCACAGTTCTCCTGGTCAGTGTTTGGGGCACTTGCGTTCTCTGTACTGCAAGGAAACTAAGTAATCAAATTAGAAATTGGGGAGCGTGGAATCCAGCAAAGTGGATAGATTGGTCGTGTGAGGTGTTTTATCCTGGTGCAGAACCTAGTGGACCCCTCTCTGTGGTGCTGTTTCTGTGATACCCTGTCTTTCTTTCAAATGGTACTGGGTGGATATGGATGAGGACACTTGATCTTAATTGGTCTGCTCATTATCTCTCACCTTTTTGGCTATGAGAGATCTTTTTTCTATAGAGAAGCCAAAGTGATCCTTTTTAAATGTAAGTCACATATTTCTCTGGTGTCCAGGATGCTGCCGTTTTTTTTATTACACCTAGAATAAAAATTCAAAGTCTGGGTTTATGAGGCCCTCCCTACGTGATCTGGCACCAGCTCCTCTTCTACCTCATTTACCGCGGTTATGGCCTTCTCAGTCCTCTCGTTGGCCATGTTGCTGTTTCTTGAACTTGCCAAGCAAATGCTCCCCTCAGTGCCTGTGCTTCTTTTCTTTCCTCCCAGATATTAGCATGACCTGCTCCCTCACTTTATTCAGGTCTCTGTTCAGATGTCACCTTCTTAGAGAGGCCATGGTCACCCTCAAAAACAGGACCATGGTCATTCTCTGTCTCCTTGCTCTGCTCCATACCCTTTGTGACACTTGTCAGTACTTGTCCCATTACTATTGTGTCAGCTCCATGAGAGCTTGTGTGTTTCATTAATGGCCTTGCACCCTTCATTTTGCTTGTTTGCTTGTTAGAGGTCCCTATCTTTTGATGAGATTTGGGAAGTGTTCTCCTCTTGCCATGCAGGTCATCTTTTGAGACGGGTTACTTGTACATGGGATGCATTTCAGCTCTTGTAAGGTGATACTCACTAGCTACTGTATTTCCGAACATGACAGTTTTTTTCTGTTGTTGTTTTTTTTTCTCTCTCATGTCATGTGACTCTGGGGTGTTTCCCTTTGTGGCTTGCTTTTCCTAAGCAAACGTTTCCTTCACTAGCACTGGTCTGAGACAGTGAAGTGAGGACACAGCCCACTCTATAGATTGGCATACCTCTGGGCTGATGTCTAAGACACTGTATTTTTCATAAGACAGCAAGTCCCTTTTCAATAAAAGATCAAAATTGAGCATGTGCTGGGTCATAGCATGTCCCTAGAAATATAGCTTGGGACTTATGTAAAATGTAATCTTTCCAATATTTATCTTCATAAGACGCAAAATAATGTTTTTAGAAGTTTTTTGTTAATGTTTAACTTGACGGCCCTCTAAAGCATTTTTCCCAGACTTAGTAACAGGATATGTAATTAGATAAGATTTTTTTCTCCCACCTAGAAAGGCAAATGAAAAAAGAAATAGCCAGATTTTTGTCTTCATGGAGGAAGAGGAGGAAAGCTAAAATTTTATTTAGCTTTGTTAATTTGTTAAAGCTAACAAGTTATTTTCAGCTGTCAGTAAAAATCTTAATTTAATTTTAAATATGAGAAAAATTCAATTTTAACAAGGAGGGACAGGTCTTCATTTTTTTTACTTTCTTTTTTCTTCTGATCTTAGATTTTAAGTAACTGGAGAGAAGAACGATACCAAGATGACACAAAAGCACGGCAGATGATGCACGAAGCCCTGCAGCTCCGCTTGAATTTGGTAAGAGATTTTTGTAGTGTTTTCCTGCCATTACATGTCTGTATGTCAGAGTGACTTCAGCCTCGCACTTCTCCTTCGGGCAAAGTCAGCGTTGCAAGGCAGGGCCTTCTGCTGTACTTTCCTGTCTCTCCAGCATTCTGTTTTCCTTGCTGCTTTCCTTCCTGTCTGGTCTGCCTCCTAGACAATAGTAGGTATTTTAAACATTGATTTGCCTTCTCCACCCTTTGCCGCAGAGAATCTCTCCTTCATTTTGTGCTAATAGTAGGTCTAATAGCCTTAGTATTTTGAGGTGAGCTTTAGCTTCTACTAATTTAAAAACCATGAAAAAAAGTCCTTTAACTCAAAATTTTGTCACCCTTTCCAGCAGATTGATCAAAAAGACGAAGTCCATAGGGAGGTTTTACAGAAATGTACAATTTCTCACACATGGTGCATTCCTTTGAATTTTTCTTTTCCTTCTGTGTAATCCCAGGTGAAGGCTGCTCGGGAGGATGGCTTGCTGAAGTTTTGGCAGTTGTGTTTCACCTAATTCCTACACACAAGCAGGCAAGCCTGTGGGCCAAGCCTCCTGCTCATTGTCACTTGTATGTTAGTGTGTCTGGCTAGGCTAAGGCCTGGAATCCTCACAGTGGCAATTGTTTAACTCTTTATCCTGTTTGTGATGCCAATTGTCTAGCTACACGACCACGACTACACTAGTTGTGGTGCTCCGGCTAGGCAACCACGCTAGTTGTTGGGCTCTTTTACCTGCTGGCAGTCCTGCACCAACTGGGCCAATTGTCGAGCTAGGGCTGGGTCTGGAGCTCACAGACCCCTCAAGCCCATTCACAGACTGGGTCAGAAACCCTTCACATGCTAGGCTGGGGTCAATAGACCCCTTCACGCAGGTCTATGAGCTAGGCAACCAGCCAAAAGGTCCTTGGAAGCCATAGGTTGGAAAGCATGTCTGTGCCAGGTGGACGCTTGAGGCAGACACCGCTGCCCACTTCACTAAAACTTCTCTCCCTCTCCCACTCCCCCCCTCCCACTCCCCCTCTCCTTCTCCCAAGAACACAAGAACAGCAATAAAACTAAAAAGATACATTGGTCTTGAGGCAGACACCGCTGCCCACTTCACTAAAACTTCTCTCCCTCTCCCACTCCCCCCCTCTCACTCCCCCTCTCCTTCTCCCAAGAACACAAGAACAGCAATAAAACTAAAAAGATACATTGGCACACATGCACACTAACTCCACACACACACACACACACAAAAATTTGCTTATAATGGATGTGCTAAAACCACACCCAGTGGGACCTGAGGCGAGGGCCCTGACCAAACTATTCTATTTTCCCAACTTAGTGGATATGTTCAAGTGTATTATGAGAGCAGGCTTAGATCCAGTAGTAATTGAGCAACACGAACTTGCAGATAATCGGGTTACGTGGTTTTGATGCTATTCAGGTTTAATTCAACTACAGTTACATCATTAAACTGGGTATCATGAAAGATTAGGAAAAAAAGAAAGCTAGTTAATTGTATTGGTGCCCATGTTCCGATACTTCCCTTCTTTATTTAATTTTTGCATGACCAAACTCTGAAGGAACTAAAAATAGTGATAAATATGTAGCTAAATGAGTGAGAAGATAGGATAATCCGTAAGCTAAAGCATCTTCTTTTTTAAACTAACAAAATTTGGCCACATAACGTCCTAGAGGTAGTATTTTCTCTTACAGAATGCAAAATTTGTATTGTGTTTTGTACGCTAGGTAGGAGGAATGTTTGACACGGTGCAGAGGAGCACCCAATGGACCACAGACTGGGCCCTCCTGCTTCTCCAGATAATCACTTCAGGAACTGTTGACATGCACACTAACAAGTATGTTCTTATCATTTCACATTAATTTTGCTGCATGGGTGCATGGTATGAACTTTCATATACTGAGGACAATTCTGCTGCATCTTATTTACTTAGGTACCACTAAAAATTCTGAGCTTTAAATAAAAATGCTCAGTTAATGAAGTGCATCTTGGTTTTGCTTTAAGATGAAAATAATTATTTTCTTTCTCTTCTTAGTGAATTATTCACAACAGTTCTTGACATGCTGGGTGTTTTAATCAATGGAACATTAGCCTCTGACCTATCAAATGCATCCCCAGGGGGATCAGAAGAGAACAAACGTGCATACATGAATTTAGTAAAGAAACTGAAAGTAAGTTTGTGATCAGCTTATCTTATGAGCTCAAGCCGTTTATGGATTTGTTATCTAGTACATTTTATCTTAATAGCAATTAGTTTAGTGAGCAGTAAATTTATTACATTCAACTTTATTTAATGTGATTATTTTGCTATTTGTTTTACCTCAACTTTCCAGTACCCAAAAGTTTACAAGCATGTAATCTTGAAGGTTTTTCTTTAAAAAAAATTATATTCACAAAACATATCTAATTTTTTAAGGAACTTTAGAAATCCATTATCAAATATGTAACCAAATGCCAACATTAGATTTAGGATAAATCTATGTTTAGACTGGCACATGTTGTTGGAAAATAACCATCTGTATTGATATTTGTAAATTTTGTTCATTTGCCGAACCATTAACATAATGTTTGAAACAAACCATAAAAAAAACAGTGCGCAGAAGTAAATCAGTATATCTGATGACTTTACCAATAAAACAACTGACTGTTCGTTACCTTGTGGTCTGACCCCGAGTGAGAGAAAGTGGTCCGTGCTGCGGCTCCTGCCTTCTGATTGCAAACGCTACTCTGGATTTTTGTCATCTCAGCACTGTGATGTTTGTTGTGTAACAAGAGTGCCTTTGTATGTGTTCTATTTTCTACTTAAATAGAAGAAATGAAACACTCACCAGTCTAATTGGGATCTGCCCCGTAGACCATTTTCAGGGTTAAAGAACATGCTAGCTGTAAAAAAGGAAATGTTTCATAGGGGAACTTATTTTATGTTAACTTTTGCCTTCATTACAATTTCTGTACCACTTCTCCTTCTCTCTCTCTCTCCCTCTCTTTTATTTAGAAAGAGCTAGGAGACAAGCGGTCTGAAAGCATTGACAAAGTTCGACAGTTGCTACCTTTGCCTAAACAGACGTGTGATGTTATCACTTGTGAACCTATGGGTTCCTTGATCGACACAAAGGGAAACAAAATTGCTGGATTTGACTCTATAGATAAAAAACAGGCAAGAGTAAATGTTTTTCTCATATGTTAATACTATATTTTACAAAAAACAAATGTTTTTCTTATCTTCTGAGAGGGTATATAAAAATCTCAACTTTGCATTTTCTTGATTTTTTTTTTTAAGGCTTATTTTTGTCATGTAAATGTAGTGGTCATTGGCATTATAATACAGATAGTTCAAATCTGTGACAACCTTTATTTAAAATGTTTACCTGAATTTAAGTAAATTTCTGGAAGGCTTATTTTTGTCATGTAAATGTAGTGGTCATTGGCATTATAATACAAATAGTTCAAATCTGTGACAACCTTTATTTAAAATGTTTACCTGAATTTAAGTAAATTTCTGGAATCCACCAAAGGAAAAATAGGTGTTAAACAAACAAAAAAAAGAAGCAAAGACCAGTTCAGATTGTACTTCATATTTTTAGAAGCAGAGTATTTTTAGATAAGAAAATTTTTATTGATAGATGTCTTCATGTAGTAAGCTGTTTCAAGTCACAATTATTTTAAATATTATGATACTTCATATGCTCATCAAACAATATTTAATGGATACTTGTTTTATATGTTAAAGAAGGTTCTCTAAAATATGAGACGAGTGGCCCGTTATTCTTTGAATGAACATTGAGCAACCTCAGACATTCCGCAATCACAGAGATGAAAGACAGAGCACCTCTGTGCTCAAGAGGAAGACAATTGCAATGTAATGAACTTTGTGTGTCGTGGTACAGAGAGGATTAGGGGATGCTGAGGAAGAGCCAGTGAACTCAGGTGAAGGGCAGGTACTCAGAGCAGGCTCCCGAGGAGAATGGACACCTGAGTCATTTTTGAAGGATTCAGAGTTAGCTGGGTGGTAGGGAAAAGTGTGGTGCAGGCAAAGGGGACAGTTTATGTAAAGACACAAAAGAATGAGACCCAGGAGAAGTGTAATAAATATCCTTGTAATTCAGAGTAGCTGAGTACCTAATACTACTGTGGTTGTGGAAAGAGAAAGCTGGAATCATGGTAAGCTGAGTTTGTGGTATCAGTGGGCTCTCTAGTGGTGAGACACCCAGAATCCATTTGAATCTATGGTCTGGCACCCAGGAAAGAAGTCTCCTCTCAAGACAAATATTAGGAAACACTTTATGGGTGGTAATTGAGCCTTGGTTTTGGGCAAAAACACCAAGGAAAGAGTAATTGGAGCATACATATTTTATGGAATGACTGACTAGTTATTTTAGGGGCCATTTTGAGGACAAAAATTTTATATTGGTGTGCTAGGAAAAGTACCAAGAGATATATACCAGTTCATGTTAAAAATAAGTAACTTTTACTTTCACAAACAGAATAACGTTTCCTCGTCCAGAAGCAACAGAGATAAGCTTGAGTTGGGAGACTTTATTTGTACGTGCTGCTATAATTTAATTCTGTAATAATATTACTTTACTCAGAGACTGGCTTATCAAGTACTTAAAAGGTCCCCACATTGAACCAAGTTCATACACGTTTGGATTGAAGTTAATATGAACCCAGTTAGAGTCTGGCTGTAAGTTGACTCTTAAAATTTTGTATTATCCTAAAAATAATACAGATTCCAGAGATTTATAACTGATTATAATTTTGTATAGCAAGATCAACTTTGCAGTGTAGTTTAGATTTTGGGGGTGGGAGGGCTATAAATATAACTAAATGAAAACTGCATTTGACAGTAAAATATACTGGACTGCCTTTTGTTGCCTGAACAGAGCATCATGTGGTATAAAGAACTACAGATCTGAACCTAAAGGTGTGAATTCTAGCTGCTGCTCTCCAGTGTTCAAGCTGCGTAACCCTGTCTGCTACGTGCTAGGGTGCTGTAAGGCCCACCCCAGCCAAAATGTTCTGAGTCCATAACCTAAGCAAGCCTGGTCTGTGAGTCAGGAAAAGCTCTGAATGTATTGTCATAGAGCATTATTTTACCACAGGGTCTTCAGGTCTCTACGAAGCAGAAGGTGTCCCCGTGGGACTTGTTCGAGGGTCAGAAGAACCCAGCCCCTCTGTCCTGGGCCTGGTTCGGGACTGTCCGAGTGGACCGCAAAGTGATCAAGTACGAGGAGCAGCACCACCTTCTTTTGTATCACACACACCCCATGCCCAAGCCCCGAAGTTACTACCTCGAGCCACTGCCCCTGCCTCCCGAGGAGGAAGAGGAAGAGCCCTCGTCTCCAGTCTCTCAGGAACCAGAAAGGAAATCGGCCGAGCTGTCAGATCAGGGGAAATCTGCAACAGATGAGGAGAAGAAAACAAAGGGAAGGAAGCGCAAGACGAGATCAAGCGCAAGGGTCGATGTAAGCACAGGGTTTAAGGAGAGCTTTGGTCCATTAGTGTTTGCTGGTGCCCACATTCTGTCCCTGCAGATGCCACTGAGTGCAGCCCAAGCCTTGTCGTAGCAGTGATCCCAATCAGTTTCTGTAGTAATTAACTGAACGGCACACAGTGGATTGTCACATACCACAGAACGAAAGTTTTGAATTTTCCCTCCTCCACTATGGATAACTTTACTTTTAGGCTTCTGCTATGAGTAATATTTTGTTAATATTTCAGTCCCTCATAATGGAAGTTTGAATTTCTTAGAACCACCAAATTTCATCCTCTTACATATTTTTATTATTAGGCGCATCTAAAATATTTATTGCTTTAAGGGTGATTGATGTCTGCAGTAAATTCACACGAAAAGCTCTATTTGCCTTTCTATTGATAAAATTACATCTAACATATCCAATAGGATGTTCCTGAGATTTCATATTTTACTATTTCATCTTACCCTTCTATATATTCTACCTCTTTACCATATCTGCAGACTTTCTAAGAGATAAAATAAGCCTAATTTAAATAGTCTTACTTCATGCTTCACTATTATTGTTGCCTACTTCTGAGAATTTTTTAAAACAACAGAAATCTATTAGATGGTCATTTAGAAATGGTTTTGTGGAACTTAAACAGTAATGCTTAAAATATCTTTCCTGGAAATTTGCCTAGAAAATACTTGAGAGAATTTGAGACTTTTAAAAATAAAATTCAAGAGTGTTCTTGCTACACAGTGGAGGAAATATTTACAACTTAGTGTTCAGACATTCATGCGTAATTATCGTTATTGCTTACCTATGTCAAAAGCAAATATGTTTTTCCTAGCTCATAGCTTGGTGGTTAATATTATTATAGAAATGACTATCATCACTTTTGGATGTGACTTGAGTATCAGTGCCCTCTCCTCATTCAGTCTTCCTACCTATATTCCTTTGTCTTGAAGGCATGTTCAATACAGTACAGACTGACACCCTCCAAAATCTTGGATATCCTAGCCTGTCAGTCATTGGTTCTTTTTAGATGCAAAAGCCCTGAAACCCATCGCATTCCCCAGATGAGTCTGGTCATGACCCCTTCTCCTGTATTCCTCCTGAAGCTGCCTCTTCTTTCTTTGGTGAAATTGCAGAGAACTGAGGTTTTGTTTCTCCCCCATCCTCTAAGACTAGACTAGAGTAGGAGCAATGGTGGGGCCATTGAGACATTCACGTGCAATCCTTAGAGACTTTGCAGGTGCTGTAAGGAAGAGAAAGTACGGGAGATAAAGGGGTGTCAACTTCTTTAGAGTGGTGTCACTAGACTAGAGTAGGAGCAATGGTGGGGCCATTGAGACATTCACGTGCAATCCTTAGAGACTTTGCGGGTGCTGTAAGGAAGAGAAAGTACGGGAGATAAAGGGGTGTCAACTTCTTTAGAGTGGTGTCTTGAAAATTGTAAGAAAGACCCCATCTATGCGGGGGGGAATGGTTCTGAAGTGTTGTGGGTCTTTCTGGCATAATTCTCATCCAGACTCATGGGATCACTAAGGCCTTCCGAGGTGAAATGATCAGGAGACTTAGCAGCTGAAGATGGTCTTTCCACTGTGGGTGTTGTTCAATATTAGTATTTTCTTTTTATTTATTTATTTATTTGTTTGTTTGTTTGTAAATGTCTTTATTTCTCTTTCACTTTCAAAAGATACTTTTCTGAGAAATAAAATTCTTATTGGACATTTTTTTTCCCTTCAACATTTTGAACATATCATTCTCCTGACTGCTGGCCAATGTCAGTATTTTAAAAACCCATGTCAGAAGAGATCCTTTTTCATCTATGCCCACTGTAAGCCATGTCAAGAAAAAGTTTAACTCAGAGAGTGTTTTGACGAGAATGTAGTGATGCTCTTGGCTTCCATCATCCCTTTCTGAGAACAACCTTGCACACCGGGATAGGCGTTATCTCAGATAACTTAACAGGAAGAATTTGCATCAGCTAGCTGTGTGGTAATGTGGAATTAAGTAACTTTTTTTTTTTTTTAACTTTATGTTGAAGGAATATCCACAGAGCAACATATACCGAGTGCCCCCTAACTACTCGCCCATTTCCTCCCAGATGATGCACCATCCACAGTCCACCTTGTGGGGTTACAACCTCGTGGGCCAGCCCCAGCAGCCTGGCTTTTTTCTTCAGAACCAATCTCTTCCTTCAGGTATGTGATGAGAGAGCACAGTAAGGTCACTCTGAGATGAAAAGCAGCTTGTGGTTCTCTTTGCTTTTAACCTGAAACCTCCAGAAAACTTGGAAATTTCAAGAATCAAGTGCTCAGCTGACATTTCTGTAATTCCCTCCACTCAAAGTGTTTTTTTCTTCTTCTAAAATAAAATTTCAGTTACCAGTTTGTGTACTGATTTTGGAAAATTATCCCGTTGATTAAAATCTAAGCTATAAGACATAAAGTTGATAAAGGTTTTATGTTGTGAGATCTGTGTACATTTTTATCAGATATAATTCTTAGCATTTTAAAAGATTAGACAATATTGCATGGTATCTTTTATTATTTTCTTATGGTGTATATTTTATATTCTTTATACCATGAAGCAACTCAGAAAATTGGTTCAGCAAGATTTAGACATCAACAAGGAAAATTACCATAGTAAATGTTACTGATTTTAGTATTGCTTTGATTCAAGCCCAAGCAGATTTTATATCCCAAATGAAGGTTTTCTAAATAAAATCATCTCTTAATTAGAAATGAATTTAATTTTCTTTCTAGATGAAAGATTGCATGTTTTAGCGTATTTAAATTGAGATCTCAGTCTGCATTGTGTTAGAATGTGCCACTCTAACAAATAATTTTTTTCCTATTCTGTATTGTGACTTTTATTGTAACTTGAGTATGACCTTAATTAGAAATGAATTTAATTTTCTTTCTAGATGAAAGATTGCATGTTTTAGCGTATTTAAATTGAGATCTCAGTCTGCATTGTGTTAGAATGTGACACTCTAACAAATAATTTTTTTCCTATTCTGTATTGTGACTTTTATTGTAACTTGAGTATGACCTTTGAGGCCTATGGAAGAAAATGTTTGATTCTTGGCTAACAGCAGGGAAGAATGCATATTTTGTTCCCTAAATGGATGGTTAAATGAGCTGGTCTGGGAGTTAGAGTTTTAGGTTCAAGTCCAGCTCTACCACTCTCTTGCCATATAATCTTGGATGAGTCTTAATTTCTCTGTGCCTCAGTTTGGTCATCTGTGAAATGGATTTGCTAACATCTGCCCTTCTAGGGTGGGGGCGATTCAGTTATTCATTCAGCAAAATGTATCAAACTTCATGATGTACTACATCCTATTTTGGGTGCTGGGGTATTACAGTGAGCAAAATGGACAAAATACCCATTCTTTTTAAAAGGATGAAATAAAGTTTGTTACACATATACATATACATGTATATATATAAAGTTTAAAGTAAATAAAAATATACATATAGCCCTTAGAAGATAGTCTGACACACAGACATGTTCAGTAAGTGATTAGAGCATATTTCTGCCTCAGGACATTTGTACTGACTGGTCCCTGTGCCTGAGTGCTGTCCCTCAGCTACCCACATGGCTTACTGCCTGCCTCCATTGGATTTGGTCAGGTATCACCTTCTTAGTGAAGTCTCTAATAATGGCCGCCCTATTTTAAATTGTAAGTCCCACCCCTTCCCAGCACCCTCTCTGCCCCTCCCCTTCTTTCTGTTTCTCCAGAGCATCCGCACTTGCTTATACTTTACTTTGTTATTGGTTTATTATCTTCATGCCCCAGACCGTAAGCTCTATGAAGACAGGTATTTTTTCTGTTGTGTTCACTACAGTATCCCCAGAACTTGGAGCTCTTAAAAATAGATTGTTGAGTGAAGGGATGCAGACTACAAAGGGCAAACTAGACTTAAGGATAAATGTGGAAAATAATACACTGTCGTCATCTTTTTGACCTTCTCTTTTTAATTTCAAGGTCCATGTTAATTTTGTGTAGATATTGGAACACAAGGACTGTCTGTGAGTTGAAGACTAATTCCTTTGTGAAAGCATGCACACTCTCCCCCTAGAATACTATAAAAAGGTATTTATAAGTTGAGGAACTTTAGGTATTAGATGACATGTGAGAAAATAAATTGGGAGAAATGAGCTATTTATGAAGATTTTATATGAGTTAATTAATAGATTTTCATAAAAATGAATCCTACAAAGTTGAAAAGAGTATGTACAGTGTGACCTCACTCAAATGCAAAGCACTCCCACCACCACCACATACACACACATGCGTATCTTTACTAATCTCTCTCTCTCTCTCTCACGTATACACACCAGTATTGTAAAGTTATAAGGAAATGCATAGAACTGAAAAAACACCAAATTCAGAGTAGAATTTTGGTAGGAAAAGGTGAGGAAAGTAGGTAGGAATATCAAGAGGGCTGCAGCCATATTTATAATATTTTATTTCTTTAATTGGCTCAGAAGTACAAGATTATAGAAGAGTTAGGAAAATGAAAAGAAAGTAGACCCTAGTCTAATCTTGAAAAAGAATTTCCTTATTCTATAAATGAGTCTGAAGTTTTTATGTAATAGTCTATTCCAGTTCTTGCTTCAGTAGAAGTTACCTTGCCATGTGTTACTCAAATTTACTTTCTGTTTTTCCCCAAATGTTCTGCAAATGCCACTGAATGACCATAAATCATATTACTGGTTGTGGTACCACATCTTTAAAAGAATGTGGCATTTTCAGGGGAACACCTTTAAAATGTTTGTTTCTATCATACAACTTGCTTTTCAAAAAAAGATAAAACATGCGTGAGTGAGATATTTGTATAGAAGTTTTTTCATCTGCATACATCAAAGAACATAGATTATTGTGGTGCAGGATTGACATTTACTGTGAAGCCCATAAAAGTTGAAGAAAAATTTTTCCTACCTCTTAAAGGCATTTGACAAATTATATGTACAAATAAATTAAGAATTTCTTTTGGTTTCTTAAGCATAAAAATCACCATTTCCTGTTTATTTGATTTTTAGCTCTCAAAGAAAACATGTATTGTTTTTAGAATCATAGTATTTGAGGTTCCCAAGCATTTCAGATTTTTAAAGTATTTTTATGTTTCTTTACTACAAAACAGACATTTTCATTTGCCCTGGTAAAGAAGCTTAAATAACATGAGCTTCAGATTTGTTTAAAATTACTTAAGAGTTTCTATGCCTGGCTTAGGACACTTGGCAAAATATACCATGAAGGCAGTACATTTATACAAGTAATATGTTCCTGAGGGGCCTGCATGATTTAAAACCCACGTAATTCCGGTGTTATGCCAGCGGCTCTATGTTTCAGTTTACCAACTGAAGTGCGACCTCCATGAAGTCATATTTAAATTATAATTCACTCCAACATCACCCTACCCATCTTTTGGAAATTATGCAACTCTTCACAGATCTTTAACATCTGCAGTATGTGGGACAGTGAATTATTTTCTGTTCTGCTCCTAAAGTGAGACATGGAAGGCGAAATTTCTGTTTTGATAAAGTTTTGACCTGTTGCATTAATGTACCTAGAGAGCCATTCCTTTTGGTTGCTTTTTTAGGTGGCTCCAGATTGGACCCTGCGGGCTCCTTTGTCCCAACCAATACCAAGCAGGCTCTGTCGAACATGCTGCAGAGGCGCTCGGGCGCCCTCATGCAGCCTCCCTCCCTTCATGCCATCACCTCACAGCAGCAGTTGATGCAGATGAAGCTTCTGCAGCAGCAGCAGCAGCAGCGGCTTCTCAGGCAAGCCCAGGCTCGACCTTTCCAACAGGTTTGTCCAGACCCAGCAACTGGAGGCCTTGGCATTCCATTACCTCTGTAGCTAGGGATGAATTTGGCGTATGTGGCATCTTCTGGTGTGCATATTCCCGAATACTTGTGTGAGTGCAGGTGTATCTACTCATATCCATTTACACATACTTTTTCTCCTTTGCATTTTACTGTTATTGGTCAAAGAAGAATGTGAAATGTCTTAGATTTATTAAAAGTATGCCTCAAAACAAAAAGAGCTACCGACTTCTCTGAGTCCTCATTCCGTGTTATAATTACCACGATATTCTGTACCCTCTTTAGTTCTAGTTTCATGCACTATTTTTAGATTTATTACCTTGAGGTCCTGTCTCTGTGATCCTGATGTTTTCTCTGACAGTGCCCTGCCTTGACTCTTTGTTTTCAGTGAATACTTATAAAGCCTGTAGCAGACAATGAATAAATTACAATGTCAGTATATGGACACATTCAATTTCATTTTTGATATTTATATTATTTCTTTTTTTTTTTTTTTTGTCTTTTTCCGTGTCCGGCAACGGATCGCAACCCTCAGTGTTGCCCCTGTATCGGACCGGGGACCGGCAACGGGATCGCAACCCTCGGTGCTGCTCCCACGCCTCGCTCAGCCAGTGAGCGGGAACCGGTCTGCATGTGGGATCCGAACCCCTGGGCCGGAGCGCTGCCGCGCTTCCCAAGCGGCGCACTATCCAGTGCGCCACCAGGCCGGCCCGATATTTATATTATTTCTGTTTTTATAACTGAATTTTCTTTTTAGACGACAGTGATTTCGTTTAACAAAACATTGATGAAATTGCAAAAAGTTTAGACTCATGAAACGTCTGAATCTAGACACATACATTAAAAAGGGTGAACTGAGATTGTGACTTCTTTTTCTAGTTTCTGCATACTTTTTTGTATTCTCCAATTTTTCTAAAATGGTTATGCACTCTTTTATAATGATAATAGTAGTAGCTACCACTGATAGAGCACTTTACTATATGCCAAAACACTTCTGAGCACTTTAAATGTATTAGTTATCTTAGATCCCACAACAACCCTATATGTTAGGTACCTTAATGATCCTTAAATGGAAGTAGCCAATCTACAAGTGTGTCCTGCTCTAAGAAAAACCACAAAACTTTCAAAATGGCAAAAAATTCGAATGTTTTTAAGAATATCCTTTTTCTTTTGGATATCTATCTTTCCAGGCATTTCTACATTGCATAATTTATGGCACTTGTACATTTGGGCCACTTGGTGATTTTGGAGGATAGAGGTAGGAGGTTAGTCATTCATTGTTAGAAATGCTTCTTTTTTTTTTTTTTTTTAACCTGAATTGTAAGAAGGGCAAGAGAGAAGAAACTTGTTGAAGTGCATGAAGATGCAAACAATAGTCACACATGCTTGTCCCTCCCTAACCTCTAGTAATTGCTTTATCTCCCTGGGTGGCAGGTAAGGTGGGCCTAAGCTGCTTCTTACACTAAATGTTGAGAATTTGATTAGCATATATAAAAACCATGGATTTTACTTAAACAACATGTTTGAACCATTTAAAACCTCATTGGGATTTTAGTTCTTCTTGAGGATGAGCAAAATAGTTATGCCAATGCTTCAAACCCTTATTGAGACAAATAAAATAATTTATCACAAGTTAGGATACCATCGCAGTAGGGTGAATTCAGCTCCCTTTTAAAGTAATAAAGCCTAAGTAAAATTTGCCTTATTTATTTATTTTTTCATATCTACCTTTTTTCCACAGGTATAATTTTCTTTATTTATAACTCACTTTCAAACTGTTACTGTTAAATTAAGCTTTTGAATTACTACGAGTGGTTCGTAGCATTGGGGAAAAGCCCACTGGGCCATTTATAGGTAAATACTCCTGTCCTTGAAAAGTTCATCCTTGATATAAGCCATGACAAGTAATATCACCTAAAACAAATTTTTTAAGAGGAATTCATCAGAATAGTTTACATGTAATCAGAGATATTTTTGCATATTTGGGGAAGGCAGGCTTATGACCTAAAATGTACCTGGATGACACCATTACTTCCACATCTTCCTCAAACCACTCAAAAATGCCTGACTCTATTCTTTTCTGTCACCTAGAGTTGTACCACTTGTTCTAATGGAATTAACTGATAGTTCATTTATTCTTTTTCTTACTGATTCCTTTGTGTCAACTCTGTCATTAATATTGGATGTTTTTCTTTTGACTTCTTTTTTCTTAACCTTTTAAGGTCAGAGATGCCTTCTTCAAATTTTAAAAGCTCAATTTTTATAGGAGTGATTGTGCAGTATTCACCTCCCCCCTCTTTCCCCATATTCTTTCTTAACAGTTGAAACTTGCTTTGGAGTCTCTGAAGGCCTTTCACAAGTAGATGTGTCTTTTTCTCTCTCACCATTCTTCAAGTCTTGGATAATTGAAGAAAATGTATTCTCATAAGAAAGAGAATTGCATACATCATGCAGTCACAGGGTACAGTGATCCTACCCAGAGTAAATGAAATTTCCATGTAGCATCTGCTGCAGTGTCTGCACAGTGGAGGTTCTGAGGAAATGTTACCACCTTTCCTCTCTCCTACTAGATCATATATGAGCTATTAATATACCTGGAGTCTGGCTAAATATAGTATTGTGGCAGAATAAAATTCCCCTTGTGATAATCCAGTATCATATATTAAAATTACTTATGAATATCACTGATGTGATATTCATCAGTGATCTCCATCTAATGAAGAGAAGTCAACATATATAGAAACCATTTAGCCTTAGATGATACACAATTAAAACTAGAATACTAATATAAAATAACCTTCTAGTTCCACTGCAGAGACTATGTATGAGCTTCAGTCAATCATGGAATTTTCTGTTATGGACCATCTTATATTTCCTTACAAATGTAAGACATTGTTTTAGTGTCTAGAAAACAGGTGCTAAATAGCATGCATATTGTTGTATTTTTGATAAGATTATTTGATGTAATGACTGTGGTTGTGTGTATTTTTCTATAGCTTTAATTCACTTGGACATGCATAAAGATGTTTTGACAAGGAAACCTTTTTTCATTCTTCTTAGTTTCAGTCTTCATCCAGGAAAGTAAAAATGACTGATCTCCATTCCATAATTAATGTCCCATATTTAGATGGGACTCAGTGTAGTGGTTACACCACTCTCTGTGCCTCAGAGCCTTGTCTATAAAATGGAGCTAATGCAATACTTACTGTATAGGGTGGTTGTGAAGTTAATGATTTAATATATATTGCAGCCCTTAGAACAGTGGCTGGCTCATAGTACGTGCTTAAAAAATATTAGCGGCCATATTTATTGTTGCTATTCTGTCAGCATTACTTTTATGGTTTTATTATTTCAAAAGAAATTTCTATTCTATAGAAATCATCTTTATTTTCTCAAATATTTTAAGGATTAAAAGAATAAAAGCATGTCACATGATTTACTTGCATGATTATGTTAGTTCTACCTAATAAGATTGGTTCAATCCTTATTTGCTCAGTGGCCACCACTGGTAGAACAGACTAATAAAAAGGAATGTTGTTAGGGGCCAGCCCATGGCTCACTTGGGAGAGTGCGGAGCTGATAACACCAAGGTCATGGGTTTGGATCCCTATATAGGGATGGCCAGTTAGCTCACTTGGGAGAGTGTGGTGCTGACAACACCAAGTCAAGGGTTAAGAACTCCTTACCAGTCATCTTTACAAAAATAATAATAAAAAAGGAATGTTGTTTAGTTTTCCTAATAGTCACTTTGGTTTCTTAGGATGGTATGTTTTTACTGTCTAAATTCTGTGATATAAACTTCAAAGAAGCTTATTCCAATTTCAGTATTAAAAGTATCACTGTGTTTTATTTTCTACATATTCTCTTAAAACTATCACAAAATGTAGAGTATTGGTTATAATAATGCAAAACATTGCTTGAATTGTTTTCCAGCCACCCCTTTCTTACACTCAGCGTTTTTCTTCTGACAGCTGGAACTCCCTTCCCCACGCCCCATCAAATCAATCATCTAGGGTAGGGGCTTTCGGAAGGAATCTTAAGTTTTGACCCAGCAAAAGGACTTTATTTTATGCTTTGATTTATGGAATTGCTTTGTCCTGATTTCTCCCTCTCAGTGCACAAAATCATTTTGTCATTGTTTATAACAACCAATGCCATTTTGTTCGAGTCCAAAAAAAGATAGGCAAAAGATATGTTTATCTTGAATGGATTGAGACAAATATTGAAAAAAGCAAAAGGAATTGGTTACAGGCTACAGGATAGAGATTTTTATGACAGTAATGAGGAGGATTTTTGATAGGGAAAAAAGTGATGTGCCAAGTTATAGCGAGTAGGAACTTGTAAGATTAGGTTATCAGTCATGGAGCAGGTCCCATCATTTGTGTATCCAGATGAAGGAATTAGGTAATTTAAGGAAGGAAGGATGACTGAGTCAGAGCCTCCCGGAGCTGTTAGCGCCTTGGCAAGAGTGAGTCTGCGACTTCATGAAAACATGCCTCTTGGACTGAGGTCCGTTTAAGTTGAGCAATCACCCTTTGTTGGGTGTTGGGTGATTGATCTCCTACCCTGGGGATAAGGTATCACCTTGGAATCCATCTGTTTACTTCCTTTTCTCCCTCCCACTCACTCTTTAGAACTACATTTCAAGCATGCAGACAAGAAGAGGAAAAGAGTATAACAATCACAAATGTAATTAACACTTACCAATATTAATAATGTTCTGCCATATTTGCTATAGATCAGTTTTTTAAAGAGAACATTACAGATATGGATGGGGCTCCTTATATCTCTTCTCATTTCCCTCCCTTCCTATAAAGAGGTAGTCACTATCATGAATTTAGTGACTATATTTTTACGAATGCTTTTTACTTCTACACATTTTTGCATAAACATTGTACAGTATTACTTTACAGGTTTGAAACTTTGTAAAAATGATCACACACATACTGTTTTGCACCTGTTTTTGTGGCTAATGTTTTAATT